TGATTGTAAGAAAAGCAGGAGATGCACATTTCTTTACAGAAAAAAGGTCAACTAAGCAAGATATTAATGCTGCATAGTACAAATTTTATATGTATATGTAGATATGACAAATGCTGATGAAAAAGACAGACAGAAACAGGAGAACCTGATCTAATATCCACCACAGTCATATGGGAATCTTTCTTTTTGAATTATGTTTATTATAGGAAAAATTAAAGAAGTAAAGAATACAAACAAAGAGGGAAACACATTACTAAACACTGTATTTCCATATCAGGAGTCTGATACATCCTATTTCTGCTTCCACACCCCTTCTCTGTAGTACTCTGAGGAAGCAATAAGTTAGCAGAATGACTAGAGGCTTTTTTCAGCCACCATAAGGAATCACCCTTAGGTACCATGGTCCTATTGAAGTCAATGGGAAGCCATAGAATTTCCTGTCTAGTTTTGCTTTTGTTTTTTCATTTTTTCTCTAAGCAAGAGAAAATGCTGTTTATTCAGGCCAGATGAAAATGACTTTTACTTTGAGGTAGTTTCTGGTAGCTGAGGTTATAGTAAGGTCTCCCTTGAAAGGTTTATAATGGATCTGAACTTTAAAAAGAAGGAGCACAGTGAGAAAATAAGGAGCAGTCATCAAAGGGGAGTTACTTACTCAGGGCATTCTTGTAAACATCTGTCTTTGTGGAGGAAGAGCGATCTTCAGCCTGACACTTCTGGCAGTGCCAGTGGTCGAAGCACACCTCACAGCCATCCATGCACATTTCGCACTTGCCACTTGCAACATTGCCAAAAGTTTTTTGAGGGCACAGAGAAACACAAGTATCATGGGTAAGAAATTTTCCTGGCAAAAGAGCAATCCATGTGGGAAAAGACACCAATTAGAAATACCTTTAAAAGATTCCTGGCTTGGATAGCTATAAAGAAAGCTTTCAACCTCCCTGAAATGTAACTTTTTGATGCTTAAAAACACGACTAGAACATTCTTTAAGCCATTTCCCAAAATAGTTTGCTCAATCTTCACTGAAATTTAAGGTTAGAAGGAATCATCAGGATTACCTAGTACATCTTCCTGAATAAATCACTATTGAGTAATTCCTGCATGGTGTCTACAATTTTTGATTGAAAATAAAGGAAAGGAGCAGCATCCACCTAATAATTTTTTTAATCTATATTGCTAAAGGTATGTGCTTACTTCCTAGCTGATGCTTGACTTCATCTGATAATTGCCTGATTACCTGTCTATGCTTTAAGTTGTCAAAGAACTTCCTAGTGACCATTGACGAAAATACTCCCTGGAAGTGTGTAGGATACGGACTATTTTAGTCTCTTGCAAAACTTACCCAAAGAAGTTGAAGTCTCTTACCTTCTGGACATGAAGTACATAAGTCAGCAGATTTCTCACAGGTCCTGCATGAAGGGTCACAGGACTGCAGTATTTTTTTTGCATCTGGCATGAAAATGAAAAACATTCTTTTTTTTTTTCCTGTCTGATAGGACAGTTTTGTTCATTTCCCTTCCTTCTTGTAGGGCCATTTTCTATGGCTATTTCTAAGCTGTTTTGAAAACGTACCTCAGTGAATTTTTTAATTCAGTAAGTTGAAGAAGTTGATGATTGTATTCAAGAGTTGTAATGAAGGAAAACATAAATGTTACCCTGAAATCCACTAAGGCACTCTTCTGAATTGTTCATCGCAACTGAGAACAATAATACATCTTAATAATGTTAGTTTCAATGTAGGGATCCCAAACCAAATCCAGATCTGTAATCCTAATAAATTATAAACTAGAAAGTATGTAAATTTGGACGGCTTAGTGTACTGAGGTATTTTCCTGGGGATTTTTTATTAGCTGGTTGCAGAACACCATTATCCTGTAACTAAGGGAGAAAACTCTGAGCAGGAAGGAGAAAAATGAGTGTTTGAAAATAAGATCTGCTAAGTAGTTCTCCCCAAAGCCATTGCCTGCTATTTCCCTCCAAAAAGAAGAGTCTGATCTGTGTCAAATGGAGCTTTTATACCTGCGGAAAACTAAGACTTTGGTTACGCTTTGCATAGACTTCATTCAATGTGTTACTCAGCTCTAAAATGACAAGAAGATGCAAGGATTATATGTAATATTGAGAAAGTCTGTTGTGCAACATGATAGGTCCCAGCATACAGCTCTATATTTTGATCCATTCAACAATAAGTAGGTGCATGTCTGATGAAAAAGTAATTGTGGGCCAGTGGATAGAAGACAGTAGCCTTTTGATTGTGCTGAAAATAAAAAATAAAGAATAAATCAGAAGTTGTTTGAAGATTGAGCTTTTCACCTCTGTTAACACATCCAGCTCCTCCTGCCAATTAAATATGTATGATTTCTGTAACTTGATGGACTGGCTAACAGTATCCATTAGTCATATGCATAAGCATATCACTACACTTTTTAGTTGTACCTGTTATGGCAAGGTACTTTAAAATGTTGACATTGTGAATGAAAGTAATGAAATCAAATACTTGGAGTAAAAAGAGGAGACAGGAGAACAGGAGACTTATATAGAGCCCTTTCCCACAAGAGGAAATGATGGGTATTTTATTAAGCAGAGAAGCACTCAATAGAAAAGTGGGTATGTGTATAACGTGGCACAGGGGCAGAAGAAGGAGGAATAATAATAAATATTATTCATAACTGTATTGTTAAATGAGTTGAACCATAGCTATCTCAGCGAAAGAATGTGGCTAGGAGATGGTTCGTAACAATATGTCACATCCACGCCTGGTTCTACCAGCAGCTGAGAACATCTTAAAAACTTTGTGTGCTAAAAAATCTTTCAATATGCTGTCCCTGGCCATAACAAGAACAATTCAGGAGGATTCAACACGGATCAAAACTTGGATGTTTAATAGTAGGGCACTCTGCAAACATGTGATTAGTCGTTCTTTGCCAGGACTACTTGTGAATGCTGCTTGCACAGGGTAGTGGAAGCCTGTAGTATTGCAAGTCTTGTTTGTAACTGGCACAATATAAAGCAGACATAGTAGGAGATTAGCAGAGTTTTCATTGTCACCACTGTTCTGGCTACAGGAACTCTGTCCTCCTTGAACAGGGGCACAAGACTGTTTGCAGGATCTGGGCACAGGCCATAGTATTCACAGGCTAAGGTACCTCACGAAGGAAAACTGCACACTGAATGTGAATGTGATCTGCCTAGTCTGAAGCCAATGGACAAAGTATTAGACCCACAAGACAGCAAATAGCTTTAGCTTTGGTCTTAGTAGCCAGAAGTGTTGGTGGCCATGGTGAGGCAAGGACCAAGACAGGTGTGACTAGGATGGTATTTCAGTAAGTACCCCCTGAAGACAATTTTCAACTCCAAAGGTAAAGAGGCCTTCTGGAGGTAGAAAATGCCTGAAACTGAATTTTGAGATGTGCAGCCTCAAGCTCTGCTAAATAGCTGACATAAAACCCGTGGGTTTGAGTACACAGGAAGGCTGTGTCACCTTTGTGACTTCACAGTTTGAGAATACTTGAACCTATGCTGTATACAATAGGGTATCTTGCAAAAAATAAAACTTCTGGAAAGGCTCTTTGGAAAGAAAAACAAGTGAGGAAGGTACAGAGTCCCTGGCCTGTGGGATGAAGAAAAGGTGGAAATGATGTATAAACATTGAGAGCTGTAGATGTGGAGGGGGTGGTATTTACTAATAAGTAATTTCTAAAGTTGCAGGGGTAAGAGGATAGCACATGGTTAGCTCTTTATGAAGGATGGGAGAGACACAAGGAGACCTCAGTGTGTGAAGTGAATTCAGTGATACCTAAAGTAGCAATGAAACGCCTTATCTTCTGGTATCATCAGTATAACTGGGGCCTCAGTGCTGAGGCTCTTTTCAATATGGCTCCTGCTGCTAGGGAGGCAGTTGTCAGATTCACTGAATGCTTAGGGTGGAAGGAGATATTTTGGAAAATCCTGATTAGGCTCTGTACTTTGTTCTATCTATGTGTATGTTATATGTATGTATACATGGAGATAAACAGTTGGGTAGTTTAGGGAATGAAGAGCTAGAGTAACAAAGTAGTTTTAGGATACTCTTTTTATTTGTGTAAGTTTCACCCTTTAGAAGAATGAGCATTTAGTTTTGCTTTTCTTACCCCTTCTTAAGTGTGTGGATGTGGATATCTTACAAGGCTTTCTGCAATAGCAGGTCTTGTGAGTTTACATCCTTTCTGTCTCTTGCTGACAGAAAGGATCTATCTCTTTTTTTACCTGCAGAAGACCTATTTTCTTTATGTCAGGTTACAACATGCTGTTCCAAGAGGATTCTAGTCTGTTTAAGTGCCCCTAAGTGTAGAGGGCAGTTTGAGTTTCTTTCAAGCCTCTGTATCTACCTTACCAAATATCACGCAAACATATTCAGTTTATTATTATTTCCAGATAATCCTCAAAGTAACTTGCTGGTGACCATTGCTCACTCTTATAAGAGTCACTAGAGTAAGCAATGGCCACAAGATTTTTCTGGAGAGACTAATCCTTAGCTTCATGTTTTTTCCTGACACTTCTCTATTGAACAAATCCTTAGAAAAGTGTCCTTCTTGATGTCATCTGTAAGAATATAAGGAATACTCTGGAAAAGCTGGATGTTTGATGTTAATAGATTTTCTATTCTCCTATCCTTAAATAGGCAGACCTTTTCTCTTTTTCTGCTCTTGACAGAAGATCCACTCTGGCCTGCAGTGGGGATCTTTCCCTTTTAGATACTGGTCATTTGGTAGTCTGTGAAAAAGAACATTACTTGAATAAGTGATGATATGTTACACAGCCATGTAGTTTTTGGTTGTTGATTTTTTTTTTTCACTTTGCTTGTAGCACCTTGGCTGAAGGAAAGACCATCTGTTCCTAATGTCTGCCTGCAGTTGCACATCCTCTGTTACCCCACTAGGTGCTTTGATAAACCTTCACAGTTTGTCAAGACAGAGTTCTGATTTTCCCACTGAAAATATCACTGGCTTTTTTTCTAAATATGCAGGATTTAGATTTTTCGTTTCCCTTTTCAGTAGCTTTGTGTCCAGCTACCTTACCCTGGCTTATATTTTATTTTTTCAAAAATCCCTCCTGAGTAGTTTTAAATGCTGTATTTTAATACTAGTTATGTGTGTGAAGAAACAACCCAGAAATACTACTGAAGTATGTTTTGCCAGGGGAAAAGGACCTTGATCCTGGCAAGAGAGTTGATAAGATATAAAAAAAAAATAGCAGGAAGTTAAGGTTAAGCAGAGTTGTTGGTAACTACTGCTGACTAATATTTAAACGAGCTTATGGTTTCAAAAACATTTCAAGCCTTATAAAGATCCTTTTTTTGGTGATGTACTTTTTATTTCCATTTAATCCTTGCCCCTTTGGCATTTGTTATTTCCTGTAATATTTGCTGGTCACCACCAGAGGGGAATGTACACAAGCAATTGGGCTTCTGGTACCTGGCACAGGAGACAACTTTTAGCTTTCCAGTCAAATGCAAGAGCTTAAATGCCCAAACTTTAGTACTGACAGAAGAAATCTTACAATTTTTTTTTTTTATTTTTTTTTTTAATAAATTCTGGACATTTAAACCAAGATTTTTTCTGTATTAAAGCTGTTACTGACTGTAAATAGACTTTAGTTTACTAAAGAAACCCACCCAACACATGTTCAGAATAAAGTGGAGTTTCAAAATGTAATTTTTTTGCTTAGCAGAAAGTTCCCAAATGGGCAAATGTGATGCAAGAGATTTGTTTACAGAAGCCAGTGTACACTGCTTGCAATAATGTAACCAGAGCTTTCAAAAGATAGCCTTACAAAGCTGAAAAATGGTCATGCAAAATGTATTA